TTCTTCAAACTTTTGCATTCAAACATTACTTTTGCATTTGATTCATAATTTTAGTTTAATTTATAGATTAGTCATAGTTTCATCATAAAGTCACAAAAATAATCATATTGAGTTTAATAGATTCGGTTAAGGTCGCAATAATAGAACTCAAGTTAAATCAATTATCGTGGGAACGATACTCGAAATTTTAGGATTTCCACTTTATTACTTGTCAACGAACCGTACACTTGCGGTGATTTTATTCGAAACATATTTTCGTGAACAAATAGGTAAACTCCATGAATGGATTAAGAATTGGAAGAAACAAGGGAAAAATATAGAAGAATGGTGAAATAAAAACTACGGGGACTAAATTAAAGTTGAGTTGGACCACAAAATAAAGATCAAAGATGCTATGAGTTCAATTGGATGCAACTGGAAGATAAAAGAACGAGATTAAAAGTGACAATGATCAAAATTGTATTGTGAGAAAGTTCATGGACCAAATGCAAAACTATAAACCTGAAGTATGCTATGCGGCCTCAAATGCCAACTAGTCTTGCGACCGTACTTGTGGGGTTCTACATCAATAGGTCCCCAAGTCGTCCCTTCCGTGTGGCCGCAAGCACTTACAAAATGAAGCCACAAGACTCTTTTCAGAGGCGAATATTTCAATTTTTTTTCTTTTGTGAAACTCTACATGAAAACAATCTTTTGTCATCCTTTAAAAGCCTGCATACATGCAAAACGTGAAAAACCTTCATTCTACCCAATTTTCACCATATTCTACCATATTTTGAAGGTGAAGAACAAGTCTAGAGAGCTAATAAAAACAAATTAAATAGGAAGATCTAAGATTCATAACCTGTTTTTGAGATTTGAGTCATGAACGTGGATTTCTCATATTTCTTCATTCTTTTCTTTTTTTTGTTCAGGTGATTTCAATTCAATATTTTGTGTGTAATTTTATCATGACTATGCTAGGCTAAACATTTATTGTAATGGATGGATGATGAAACTTGTTAATTGTTATTTTTAATTCAAGACTAGATGATTTTAGTAATTTCTTGGGTTTTTGATTACTTATGCATAAATATTTTGTTATTTGAATGATTGACCACCATTTAGATAACTCGTTGCATATTCGTAGTATTGGGAGACTCACGATAGATAAAACACTGCATATTTAACACTTGGGCAATATGTATTAGAAATAAATTTTATAGCGTGTGCAATGACGTATAATAATCATGTGAATTAATGCACGTTTTTCATATGAATTCAAACTAGGAATATGAATGGGTCGTGTTAAACATATGTTTAATATATTTTACAAAAGAATATTGAATAAAATTGGTTTATCGATTGTCATAAACTTCAGAAAAATACTACTTTATACGAGTCGTGAATTGGCAATAACATTAATAGATGAATTCTGAAATCCAATACAATCACTTCATTATTTGATAAAAACAAATCTTTATCGCTTTCGTAGCTAAAATTAGTATAAAAATCAATCAATTGATCTCTTTTGTGTTACGGTACTTCAAATTTAGTAAAACTAGTACACTAAAGTTAAACATTATTTATCATGGGACGATACTCTCAACTCATTTAATCTACCTCTTGTCAACGATTCTGTACGCTTGCGGGATTTTAACGAACAAATTTTTGGCACTGTTGCGGGGAATGCGTTTTTAATTCTAGTTTATTATTTAAACTAGATTCGATATTTTCTTTTATTTTAGGGTATTTATTGTACTACCTAAGTTCCTTTTGTTTCGCTTCTTTCAGGTTGTCAACAACTTATGCAAGATTCTAATGAGATCAAGCTAGCTTCACTAGATCTCGAGATCGAAAGAGCATTCAGACTGATTTTATCGAGCATACCAATTTTGTAATTGTTTAGTTGGATAATTGAAACTTTACAATATTGCAACAAATAATAAAGTGTACTAAAATATTTAACACTAACTTTATCTGAGCAATCCATTAAAAGTAATTTTTTGTAAAGCTAGAAATAATAATTACATAAAATTATGGAAAAAGTTTTAAAAATCTGAACTTAAGGTTATTAACGAGACTAAAAGCGTTAGGACTCATGATATCAACATAATTTTTCCAATTCAACTTCGTCTATCAAGTTTGGCCATGTTGCGATCAACTCCCTGTCAATGTTTTGGTATGTTTTGTTCCTGCTTCATTCCTCGTCATTGTAGTTGCGCTTCCGCTTCAGCCTCAACTATTGCTCCTTTCTTCAACGATTAATTCCATCTCCTCAAATTACTTCCTATTATCATTTTCTTATCTTCTCTCTTCGAGTTCGGGGTTATCCTAATATAAGGAAAACACAAGAAATCAATAGAACTAGAATGGATTACAAGAATATATATACTAATTCGGCATCTGATAAGTGTGCTTATCGGAAACATTCTCTCTTCTTTTAATCATACCAATAGAATGTCAAACAATAATTATAAGACTCCCACAATTACTCGTTTGTTCAATCTCCCCTTAATATGCCTAAAACGTGCCCTCATATAGTAAAATGAAAGAAATATTGTCCATGTGTCTGAATAGTTGTCGTATTTGCTCCACCTTTTGAATAGTTTTTCATGATATGATTAGGTTATCCATACTTGATCGGGTTGGTATTCTTTCCAAAGTTATATGCAGTCCAAATTATTGACTTGTACTCATCATAAATTTTATTTATATTTTCTATTTACGATTAAGGCCCTTTCACTTTTGACACTATTGAGCACAATCCCAACAATCAAATCAAAAGAAGAACGCATCAATTTGGGACTCTTCAAGAAAAAATGAAAACAATTATACTAGTGTACGACGGATTTCGCGTATTAAAATACAGAAAACGTCCCAAAATTGTATTTTAAGAAATACAAATAAATGAGAATCTTCTTGTAATTGCAAAATTGCATAACCCTCTGATTAATGATCTGAATGTTTGAAGACAAGGAGCCACGTGAC